AAAAAGAAAAGTGCAATGCTGGCTTTACCCCGCGACGCTTTTTAAAACTCCAAAAACCCAGCGTGATGGGGGGTAGGTTTGCCTAGAGACAGGTGAGGCAGCCTTAGTAAACTGAGAGGAAAGTTAATTGTCAAAGAGCGTTGAGCCACTACGAGCAGCAGCAACCTTGGACTAACAGGTGTATCTTAGCGAGCACATGCTCCAGCACATGTCCCTACGAAGAAAATGTGGCACATATACACCATGGAATACTATGCAGCCATAAAAAAGGATAAGTTTGTGTCCTTTGTAGGGACATGGATGCAGCTGGAAACCATCATTCTTAGCAAACTATCACAAGAACAGAAAACCAAACACCGCATGTTCTCACTCATAGGTGGGAACTGAACAATGAGATCACTTCGACTCAGGAAGGGGAACATCACACACCGGGGCCTATCATGGGGAGAGGGGAGGGGGGAGGGACTGCATTGGGAGTTATACCTGATGTAAATGACGAGTTGATGGGTGCAGCACAGCAACATGGCACAAGTATACATATGTAACAAACCTGCACGTTATGCACATGTACCCTACAACTTAAAGTATAATAATAATAAATAAATTTTTTAAAAAAAATAAATAAATAAATAAATAAAAACTTAGGTATGTAAAATTAAAGCTCATAGATTACTCTTGCCTATGGCAGTGAGCTCCTGATAGGCAAGGGTAGATTTCATGCAGCCTCTGTAAAACACAAGTCCTTAGGCTTTGGCGTCTGACAGAAGTTAAAATTACTCAAGGGCTGTGCTTGGGCAACTTAGTTGAGGTTTCATAATCTGTGAAACAGAAAATGAATTAAATAAAAAGATAATTGAGAGAAACCTATAAAAGGTGCAAAGCCCAATGCCTGGCATTGAGAGATGCTTTACACCTGTTATCTCTCACCCTATTGTCTCTTCACCCTTACTCCTGCCTGGCAGCTCCCCGCTGTTGGCGCCAGAAACACTTATCTGCTAAGAAAAAGAAAAGTGCAATGCTGGCTTTACCCCGCGACGCTTTTTAAAACTCCAAAAACCCAGCGTGATGGGGGGTAGGTTTGCCTAGAGACAGGTGAGGCAGCCTTAGTAAACTGAGAGGAAAGTTAATTGTCAAAGAGCGTTGAGCCACTACGAGCAGCAGCAACCTTGGACTAACAGGTGTATCTTAGCGAGCACATGCTCCAGCACATGTCCCTACGCCCGTCCCTCCATTTAGCGCCATAAATGCAGCCTCCTAAGAGAATGGGAAGCTTGGGAGTCTGAGAACTGAAGCTACCATTGGCCTTAATGGATGTCAACCATTAAGGTGAGCTTGGGAGTCGGAGAACGGAAGCTACCATTGGTTTTAATGAACGTCAATCTTCACTCGCAGCTTTTCTTCCTCGCCTCCTTGCCCCTTGCTATTCTGGTAGGCTGGTTCTCTCTCGCCATCTGCTGGCCGGACTCGGGAATATACCAAAGGCGCTTTCGCCTGCCCTGAGTACCTGCAAACCTAGGGCTGGGCACGGTTTTTAAGGGCTTGGCTCGCGTGCCCGGGGCGGTGCTAAAAGGGGGCTGCCTGCGCCAATCTCATTTCCACAAGATGCAAGTACAGAAGCAGCGCGGACGCCCGGAAAGGGTCACAGAGAGGCAGGCAGGGCGGTTGACCAGCCTACTGGCCTCACTTCTGAGAAATGTAAATGACCGAGCCACAGTCCAACCAAGGGTATCAAAACAGAATCTCTACAGATGGAGCTCAGCGAAGCTGAATCTCAACCCCACCCTGGAGAACTTAAATATATTGGGGGTACCCAGAATCCCCATTTTTAAAAACCTATCCAAGTGATACCTTTGAATGTTAAAGTACAGAGAATCACAAACTGGCAGAACTCTTTAGCTTACAAGTAGGGAATGAAGACCACCCCCTAAGAGGAAAAGGAATTCACCCAACGTCTCCCTGCAACATCCTAAGAAAACGTGAGACTCTAAGGTTAAAATCCTAACTGACAACCATTCCCTCCCCCAACTAGTCCTCTGACCTCTAGCAAACTATCCTGTCCTAATCTGTGAAATAGGAGCAACAATCACACCTACCCCAGCAGGTGGCTGCGAATATCAAACGGATCAAAATGAGTCAACTACCAAGCACCGCCCGACTGGAAGTAGAGGTTGAACTGAATCTTGATCGCCCTACCCCATTCATCTCTCAGTATCACTGTATGAGGATGGAAGTGAAGTCACCCAGCCACACATTGGCCCCAAACCATGTCCACCTGCACCCGCAGCTCAGTGAATATTTCTTTTCTTGAAGACAGAGAGAGGCTCCTTGGAGCCTCTGGAGTCTGAAAGTGGATGTTTCCTTCCTCATGAGTGCGTTGTCCTCCTAAGATAGGATGGGCAACAGGGTCTATATGGAAAGTATTGGCTGCCAGGGCTTCAAGGCTGGCTCCTGAGCGGTTGCTGGAGGGTTAGAGACCCCGCTCCAGCTCTCTGTGAAATCAGGCAGCTTGGTAGCAAGAGTGAGTGAGGTGAGCCCACTATGAACCCATGGGAGGAGAGAAAAAGAGCATCCCATCTAAGCTTTTACATACCCCATTGCAGGCTCCAGAATTTGATGCCCAGTCCCTTATCTCTAACCCATCCCCAGAAGCCAATTCTCCTTAGCCCTTCCTGCCACTTCTGCCATTGTACATCCAGATGGTTCTCTTCTCTTCTATCAAACTCCTACTCATCTCTCATTCATCAAGACCAAATATAAATCTTTCTCTGTGATATGCTCTCAAGTTAGAGGCCATGGTGACTTCCTCTGTATTCCCAGAACATGTTGTTTGCAACTCGAAATACAGACATCAGCCTACCGTTAGAGTTCAGGAGCATCTTTTAGGGGTTCCTGGAGAAATCACTTTCCATAAATGCTGGCCTTATTCCCTAACTTCACCAGACCTGACCTTAGTGCTTGATCCATTCCCACCTCTCCTGACCATGTAAGAGACCTTTCCTTCTTTATGGGTTTGAGAAACACAAAATGTCCCAACCACCAGTTACTTGGCCAGAAGTATTCTTGTCACATTTATAATAACATCCAGCCAACAAGATGCTTTGTGCCAAGGGAATGTTCCTTTTCAGGGCAAATGCTCTGTCCCCAGGAATGTGAGACAACTTCCACGGCCCCATGTAAGTACTACCTGGAAGTGAGGCTTCCTTGGTGGCTCAACAGATTCCCTGAGCATCCCTACTCTGTCACTCATGTCAAACTGCAGTGGGATTGCATCAAATCTCTCAGAGCACAGCTGCAAAGAGGAAAGCAAAGCTGGAGCTCTACTCTCTGAACCCATAGCTCTAGGCAGTTACTTTCTCCATGAGGGTCTATTTTATATATAAGGAAGAAATGGAAGATTGCTACCAAAAATGACATCATGTTACTTATTCCAATCCTGTGGTTCAGTTGCTACTCCAGTGATGAGCGAATAAAGAGGAATTAGAAGCATGGCTATTCCTAGGCTCAACGGGCAGGGAAGCTCTGGAATTGGGTTTGTGGCAGTGCTGCTTGGAGCGCCATTACAAAGGGACAAGAGTGGTTCATTGGGAGGTAAAATACAGGGCACCTAAGAGACAAGGGGTCTGGGAAACAAGGCAGACTTTTGTATTTATCATTTGCTGTAAATCTCTCCATGAACTTTCTTCTCCCTTTTAATTTTCTCTGTACTTTAATTACGTTTCTTGTTGGGGACAGGCCCCCAAATCTGACCATAAACTGGCCCCCAAACTGGCCATAAACAAAATCTCTGCAGCACTGTGACATGTTCGTGATGGCCATGACACCCATGCTGAAGGTTTAGGGTTTACTGGAATGAGGGCAAGGAACACCGGGTCCACCCAGGGCGGAAAACTGCTTAAAGGCATTCCTAAGCCACAAGCAAGAGCATAAGCCATGGGTGCCTTAAGGACATGTTCCTGCTGCAGATAACTAGCCGGAGCCCATTCCTTTGTTTCCCATAAGGAATACTTTTAGTTAATCTATAATCTATAGAGACAACGCTTATCACTGGCTTGCTGTCATTAAATATGTGGGTAAATCTCTGTTCGAGACTCTCAGCTCTGAAGGCTGTGGGACCCCTGATTTCCCACCCTACACGCTATATTTCTCTGTGTGTGTCTTTAATTCCTCTAGCGCAGCTGGGTTAGGGTCTCCATGTCCGAGCTGTTCTCGGCAATTTCTCAGGCCTGGCATGGTGGCTCACATCTGTAATCCCAGCACTTTGGGAGGCTGAGGCGGGCAGAGCACCTGAAGTCAGGATTTCGACCCTAGCCCCATCCCTACTAACGATACAGAAATTAGCCAGGCGTAGTGGCAGGCACCTGTAATACTAGCTGCTGAGGAGGTTGAGGCATGAGAATCACTTGAACCCAGGAGGTGGAGGTTGCAGGCAACAGAGATCATCCTCCTGCGCTCCAGTCTGGGCAATAGAGCAAGACTGTCTCAAAAAAAAAAAAAAAAAAAAAAACTCAGTTAATGGCCAACATTGTTACCATCATAAGCCCCAGCTTCCCCGTCTTTCTCCCTCCATGTGTCTTTTATTTTGATCTATGTTCTTCTCTACCAGATTCAACCTCTGGCCCCTTCTTAAGGCTCCCCGGCCATTCACCCTCATGTGTTGAATGCCCACTTCCCTCCTTATTTTTTAGTTGGCGTGGATTAGCATCTCCAAGTCAACATGTCAAAAGTAGTATTACTGATACACGCACACACACACCCCAATCCTGGCATACACAGCGTCTCCTTCCTCAGTCTTCCCCATATCAGTTAATGGAGATTTCATCTTTCTAGTTGCTCAAGTCAAAAGCCTAGGAATCATCACTGAGCCCTCTTTTTCTCTTATTTATAGAATATCCATAAGCAAATTCCATGTGCTGGTCTTTCAAAATATATGTGGAATCCAGCCATTTCTAACACCTCCACCATTACCACCTGAGGCGGGGCTCTGAAATCTTTGCAATCCTGGGACAGACTCTTAGCCGCCTTCTCCCTTCCACATCTACTCTTGTCCTCCCAGAGTTTGTCCCCCGCACAGCTGCCAGAGTGATTTTTAAAAATATGTCGGGGTATAACTTATCCCTTGCTTCAAATCCTCCATTTAAAATACATTTCACATTTAAACCAAAATCTGGACTTCTTCATATGGCCGACCAGGTGCTTTATGCTAATGGAATGTGCAGATGCTTCTCCCTAGGGAGCGCCTTTTTCCAGGGCAAATTATCTCCAGTGATGTCAGGTAATTTTGACAACATCATTCTGTACCACCTCTTGCTTTTCATAGCTTTTTTCCTCCAGATTCTGCAATGAAAAGAAAATCAAGTCTCCTTGTGCAATGATTTATTCTCTGATATATATTGGTGCCAGTCACGTGTACTGCTTTCAGATGATTCAAGAATAACAGCGATTTGAGAAACCTGTGGTTAAGTTTTCTCTTCTCTTTTTCTGTATAAAATTATTTTTACCATTATACTTCCAAAGTGTTCTCTTTCCAAACACCACAAGTCCCGTGTAATTTAAGCAGTGATTTTAGGGGTCTCTGGATATTTTACATTAAGTTCAGAAACATGCTCATGATTATTCCACCCAAACTATCAACGTTTACATAAATATCTGTCGTTCTATAAGTTATAAAATAATTGTCACCATCCCCCCTTAATCAACCATCTTCTCCCCTTCTCTGACCAACTTTTCAAACACCCACTACTGAAGGCATCTCCTATTCAGGTTCTTAGATAGTAAGATGTTCTGTTCTTCAACAGTAAGATGTTTCCTCAAGCCCCATGCAAAGCATTTCTTTGATCCTCACTTTGGGGATGCCCAACTCTGGCATCTTCATCTGAAGGGTAAACTTCCGCACTCAGCAAAGCGCGTCGTGGGAAGCCGCCTAAGCAGTGCTGGCCGCTTTCTTGTCCAGGTTGGCGTTGTCTGTGTTCGCGAGGCCCTCCGCGAAGTTGGATCATTTGTGGAGCAGGCCGACTCCCTCTAGAGCTCACGCTGACAGGGGTGCAGCCTGCTCTGGGACTGGCAGTCGGGCTGGAGGCTGGGCTTCTGCGTCCTCAGGGTGGAGCTGTGTCTGCTGCTGCTGCCGCCGGATGCCGCCTGGATGCTCGTCCCGCCACGGCCGCTCACCCTACAGTGGCAGAATGGCAGCAAGTGCCACACACCAAAGCACCCGGGCGGGCTATTTGCCCTGCAGCTCCAGCCAGCGCGCTACTCCTGCGCAATCAAAAGGCGGGCAAAGCGCGAAACCGCCAGTCGCCTCCCAGCCCCACAGCGGTGCGCAGTTCCTCCTTGGCCTCCACTTGGAGACAGGGGACGCTGAAGACCCGAAAGCAGCACGGCAGTGATTGCTTAGTTTATCCTGGGACGCGGGAGCTGGCCATGGACTAAGTGGTGCGTGTGGGCGGGGGCGGGGGTGGGATGGGGATGGGGTGGGGGTGGGGGTGGGAGGGGGGTGGGGGTGGGGGTGGGGGTCGCCGGGAATCGCTAGGACCCGGATGGACCACTCCGGACAAATAGGAGGGTGGGCGGGTGGTGCGCAGACTCCACACCCTTCTGACCACCCTGAGCAAGGCGCAGGTGTGCGCTCTTACCCTTAGTCATCCCTGCAATCACTGTCTCCAGAGATGTTAATTGGCTTCCAAAGTGGATGAGAGATGAGTCATTTTCATCAAATGAGAGAAAACAGCCTCCAGAGACTCTTTGTCTATTGGCCAGCGAGAAGGTCAATTCCCAGGATCCTCCCGCTCAGGGACTTGATCTTCCAGGCGAGAAAAGTTCAGCTTAGAGCGACAAGAGCTGCAGGCACCGGCACGTGCACTGTGTGGGCAGACTCTGGTTCTGTGTTTTTTCTGGTCCTGGGTTGGACCTGGAGTTCTCAGGGGGATGGCTGGCAAGGCCAGTATGCAGAAGGACCTCAGCCCAAAGTCAAGAAGGTTTTGGATGGAGAGCTGGGTCCCGCGCCCGTTGTGGTAATTCCCTTCCCGCCCCTCAGCGTCAAAGGCCAAGAGTTTTACTCCTGAAAAGATACTTGGAGATTGTCTGGGTGTTCCTGAATCTCAAGAGAGTCGCTGGACACTGGTGGGTCCTTTCCCTGCCCGGTGCCTTCACATACTTAGCATGAGACCAGGTTCAATTAAGCAGAACAGAAACTTTATTCACTGATGGAGGAATGGAGAAGGGAAGTTCCTGCTCAAGATGTGTGGGGTGTAGTGAGGTGGTGCTTTTTTAAGGTCTTTTAGGGCTTGTAGGTGGAGACTGAGGGCAAGGGTTCCTGGAAAGAGGTGGGGCTTTCCAGGAAGAGTTGACTGTGGCAGTCTCATACTTTCTGTTGCCCCTCAGCATTACATGTGCCTAGCAAGGTGCCTTTTTCCCCGGGGGGGCAGAGATTTAGGTATGGTAATTAGCAAGGATTCAGGTTAGGGTAGCACTGCTGAGCTCGTTTCCCATCTTGTAGCGCGGTGGTTGCTGACATCCAGTTTTTGTTTCTGTAAGCAAGCAGAGCTGCAAACACAGGTTACCTTCGTAGGTTCTGGGGCATTAGGAAAGAATTTAGGTCATGCTGGGGTGACATAGACAGTTGTTTAAACAACGTGGTGCGCATTTGAGGTGGGGGTTGTAGGGCCAGGCAGATAAAAGTGCAGATTTCATAGCCACACCCCGACATACTGAATCAGAGTCTGTGAGGGTGGGATCTGGAATCCTTTTTAAAAAGCTCAGAGGAACCAATTCACAGGAACAATGAAAGTTTGATCTGAGCCAAACTCCTTAATTTAGAGATGAGGAAACAGGGATCCTTAAAAGGGATACAGGGAGAGGGTTGGAGGAAAGTTACAATATAATAGTTTTAGGGTGGTTGTTTCCTGGCCTTGGGAAGTTTTCTCAGCCACTACTCTGATCAGTACACAGTTGAATACTTTAGGGGAACCTTCCCCATATATCCTGAGTTCTCTCTCTCTGCAGGTCTCCCGCCAGGTCTGTTGCCTGTGATCTCTTGTACCTTGGTCTTTCAGCTTTGTCTCCTTAAATCTTGAAGTCCAACTAGCTTTGCCTTGCTGCCCTTCCTTGAGACACTGGCCTGGAATCCTTCAAGGTATCTGCTTATTCATGAGCTTTCTTCTAGTCTGATGTTATTTTACATGGAAACAATTCTATACTTTCAAAGCTTGCATTTATTTGTTAGGTGAGACTAGAATTAGGGCTAATTTTGTCCCACTATGGAAGCTATAATTTCTGAGTACTCTCCCTGACACTTCATGAATTATGAAGTTTTCTAGTCTGATTTTGGGAACTGAAACTATTCCTAGTCCTGTATGAACCTCAGAAATTGTTACATCTACTCATTTTGGGTAGTTGTTTTCCTGTTCCCTTTCAACAGGGTAAAACAGGAGGATTTTATTGAGTGCATTCAAACCCACAAGATTAACAGCCAAACACTGGTCCCAGAACAAAGACAGCACCTGACTTTTATACACAGTTCTAAGATGGGCTACCTTGAAACAAGCTTACAGCAGTGTGAAGTGTAGTGGCATGAAAGCAAGGATACAGAGGCAGAAGAAAGGCAGTCAATCAAATTGTGACAGGTGCATAATTCAGGATTACATGTGACTCTTGTTATGGGGCCCAGATGGCTGTTATCTAGGCTTACTCTAGTGCCTTACAAGGGCTTATCTCATAACCTTCACTATGGCGCCTAGATAGCTGCAGTCCAGGCCTGCTCAGGCATCTCATGACCTTTCTTGTGCTGCTTCGATAAAAACAGAATACTTGAAGTTACTAGTTACAGAAAACAGAAATCTATAAACTCCTAAGTTTATCTAAGGATATCAGGAATATTGGATTAGGGGCCTATACTACTGCTAACTTTAACTAAGTATATCAACAAGAACTGTATGTCCAAATAAGGTCACATTTTGAGGTATTAGGGTTTAGGACTGTAACATGAATTATGAGGGGACACAGTTCAACCCATAACAATCTTATGTGGCAAAACTGGCAGTACAGATCAGTGGAGAAAAAATGAACAATTCGGTCAGCATCGCTGGAACAGTTCATTATCCATATGCAAAAAATAAAAAGTGATACCTACTTCAAGCTATATACAAAAAATTATTCCAGATTATGAACTTGAATGGTAAGAGCAAACCTTTACAATTTTTAGAAAAAAAAAAAATCCTATGAAAGATGTTCTAATGACAGAAAAAGGTTAATAAACTTGACAACATGAAAATTAATGTCTCCTGTTCTGTATGACAACAGAGAATGAAAAATCAAGAAGAAACTTAGAATACATGTTTAATACATGTGATGAATAAGGAATTTATGTCTACAATATTACAATACTTGTAGAATCAATACTAAAAAGAATAGCAGTTCAGTAGAAAAATGAACAAAACACTTTGGGTGGCAGAGGCTGGCGAATCAGGAGGTCAGAAGTTCCAGACCAGCCTGTCCAATATGGTGAAACCCTGTCTCTACTAAAAAAAAAATACAAAAATTAGCCAGATGTGGTGGTGTGTGCCTGTAGTTTTGGTTACTCAGGAGGCTGAGGTAGGAGAATTGCTTGAACCTGGGAGATCAAGGTTGCCGTGAGCCGACATCATGCCACTGTATTGTGGGTGACATAGGAGACTCCATCACAAAAAAAAAAAAAGAAAGAAAAAGGAAAATGAGCAAAGGCATAAACAATGATTTTAGAGCCTGAAGCATGAAAAAGTGTTCAATCCCATGAGTAATTAGGAAACTACTATTGAAACCCTCTATAAGATGCCTTTTGTCACCCACACGATTGACAAATATTAAGATATGGATAATACCCAGCTTTGATGAAGACGTAGTATAATGAGAACTCTCATTTCTCACTGGTGGAAGTGCAAGGTGGTACAACAATTTTTTAAAATAATATGCCAGTATCTATTATAATATATTCATAGCAAAACTGTCCAGTTTTTAGTAGAAAAACCCTGAAATGTGCATAAGCATTTGATTTCTTCAGTGAATTCTCTCTAACTGTAAAAGTGGATGGAGAATTTCATCTACTAGAATGAACCTCAAAAAAGTAGTACAAATCACAGAACACATTCAGCTGGATGTGTTTATGTAAAATCAAAACAAGCAAAATGAAACAGTGTACTCTTTATACTTTTACTACATATGTATATGTCACTAAATAAGTGTAAGACACTAATAATTTTAAAACAAATTCAGACTTAGCGGTTGTCCATGAGAATGAGAAAGGGAGATAAGATGAAGGAGAAACACTCTGTATGCCTCTAATAATTTGTAGTGTGCAATTTCTTAAGTTGGGAAGGAGATACATGGATGTTTATTATATGAAATATAGGGTGTCATAAACTGCTTTTGCATGTAGAATATATTTCATAGTTTTTTAAAAACACAATATATAAGAGATAAAGAAGCTGAGGAGTATCCACAGGATACTAGCCTGGGTAGTCAAATGGGTAATGACACCATTGTCAGATTCAGGAACACAGGAAGAGGGGCATGATTAAATTTTATGACTCTGGTTTTAAAGGCATTAAGAGTGAAATGTCTCTGACATATCCAAGAGTGGATGTCAAAGACACAACACAATATTAATATCTGGAGCTTAGATGAGAGTTCAGTGCTGTGGAGATACATTTGGGCAATAAATATTTGCAAACATGAACTGATGGGAGAGCACCAAGATAAAAAGGAATTCACTATTCCTAAAACCTCAGCTCGTTCAATTGCACCTACCTACTAAATGATCTAAGCCCAGCTGTGCCTCCTGATTTTACTCCCTCTAGGCTTACTCTTCTATTTATGTAGACTACATACAATACTTCAGGCTTCACAATAATTTCCTTCTAAGTTATGTTCATGTATTATTTTTCTGATTCTTTTTAGTCATCTATCTGTGTTCTCTTGTAGCTCACCGACCTTTTAAAGACAATTATTTTAAATTCATTGACAGACAGTTTATAAACCTTATTTCTTTAGGGTGAGCTACTGGTTAAGATTTTTTTTCCCTTTGGTAGTATCATTTTTCCCTGATTGTTCTTGATCTTGATTTTTAGGCAGTGCCTTCATGTCTGCACATTTGAAAAACAAGAAACTTATTCTAGTCCTTGCATACTGGCTTTTTCTGCAAAAACCCTTTCCCAGTCATCCAGCAACTTTTGGTAGGGTGTCTATTGTGGTCTGTAGGTAAACTTTTTGTGGAAGTCCTCAGGCAGGCTGGCTTTGTGCCTGTGTCAGCAGGTGGCCTGGTTCCTGGGTCTGTACAGTTGGGCCTGAAGCCTGGATCCACTGGAGTGGATCTTTTCATTGGATATGTGGGGATGAACACGAAGTTTATGTCTATAAGGGCTGCAAAGAGCCTGTACCAATAGGTGCTGGACTGAATCCTGGCTCCACAGGGGCTAACATGGCTCTCAGGTGGGCATTGAGCCTGTGTCTGCAGGGGCTGGCCAGGTTTTAGAATGAGCCTAGTGTCTGAGTCTGCTGGGAAGAGCCTGAAAACTGAGTCCATGGGGACTGTCCTGGTACTGGTGCCAGATTGTAGCCTGAATCTGGGAAAATGGGCCTGGGATGTTGGTAGATGGGGGCTGACCCGGAGCCTGAGTCTTCAGAGATGGTCATAGAGCCTTGGTCCATGATGGCCAGCCTGGCATCATGGTCAGGTGAATTCGGCCTGTACCCTGGGTCTGCTAGAGCACAGCTGAGCCCTGAGTTTATTGGATCCTGGGTCACAAAAATCAGCCTGCAACCTGAAGCTGGCTTAGGGCTGGGGTGGGATGGGTCCAGTTTAGAGCCTGAGACCATAGGTGCTAGACTGGTGCCTGTAGCCACAGGGGCTGGCCAAAACCTGTGGAATGGCCTGGAGGCTGGGTATGTGAGATCTGGCCTAGAACTAAGGTCTTCAGAAGCTGGCATGGGCACTAGGGCCACAAAGCCTGGCCTGGGCACTAGGGATGTAGGAACTAGACTGAAACCTAGGTTCACAGAGGCAGTCCTAGATACTGGGTCTGTAGGAACCATCCTAATACTGGAGTCAGCTGTGATGGACCTGGACCCTGGGTTTACTGGAGCATGAGACCATAGGAACTGGCCTGGAGAGTGGGGTGGCAAAAACAAGCATAGCCCTAGGCAGGCCTGGGGCCTGAGTCTGCAGATTCTTGCCAGATACCTGGCTAAGGACTAGGGCTATAGCTGCCATCCTGGAACTGGGACAGAGTTTGTCAGTGCATCTTAAAGAATTAGAAAAGGAAGACCAAACCAAACCCAAAATTTATAGAGCAAAAGGTATAATAAACATCACAGCAGAAATAAATGAAATCGAAATGGAAAAAAGTATGACAGATTAAGGAAATAAAAGCAGGGTCTTTTGAAACTTTAAACAAAATTGACAAACTTTGAGCCAGACTAAGAAAAAGAGACAAGACCCCAAAAAATATATTTAGAAATAAAAAAGGAGACATTATAACTGATACCACAGAAATTCAAAGGATTATTAGTGGCTACCATGAGCAATCATATACCAATAAATTGGAATTTTATTTTTCTTTAGAGACAAAGTCTCACTCCGTCACCCAAGCTGGAGTGAAGTGACATGATCTCGGCTCACTGCAACCTCTGCCTCTCGGGTTATGGGAATTCTTCTGCCTCAGCCTCCTGAGTAGCTGGAACTACAGGCACACGTTGCCACGTCTGGCTGATTTTTTTTTTCTTTTTGTATTTTAGTAAAGATGGGGTTTCACAGTGTTGCCGAGGCTGGTCTCGAACTCCTGAGGTCCGTATATCCACCTGCCTTGGCCTCCCAAAGTGCTAGGATTACAGGCATGAGCCACTATGCCCAGCCTATATACCAATAAATTGGAAAATCTAAAAGAAATGGACAAATTCCTAGACACATATAACCTACTAAGATTGAACCAGGAAGAAATCCAAAACCTGAACCGACCAAGAGCAAGTAATGAGATCGAAGCTATAGTAAAGTCTCTCAGTAAGGAAAAGCCCAGGACCTGATAGCTTCACTGCTGAATTCTACCAACATTTAAAGAAGAATATCAATCCTACTGAAACTGTTCTGAAAAATAGAGAAGAAGG